TATATTGCACCAGCCGGCGTAAAGGTACATAAATCATGACCATCGGTATGGAATCAGCACATTATCTCTGTGCACTAGTACCACGCCGCCACGTGTCACCATGAAAGGACACATACAGGGGGCGTGTGTTAGGATTAAACCGTCACCAAGGCCAAACTGGAGCGGATCCGAAGCGACGTCATGCTTAGAGTACAGAGCAATAGCTCCCCCTGAGGGGAACCTTAGCGCGAGCTAGGAGGCAAATGAAGGGACTAAATATAAAATGGGTCGGATCCAAGCCTTGGGTCGGATCCTGTAACAACCCTCATACTGATTACTGATTAATGACTGATTGATTACCGATTACTGCTAAACGGAACTGATAATGACTGATAACTGACTGATAATTGAACTGATTAAAGTACTGATTTCTGTGTCTCCCCCATACCCTCTGTCTCTGTAACAACCCTCATACTGTTTACTGATTAAGGACTGATTGATTACCGATCATCACCGATTGCTGTTAAACGAAACGGATAATGACTGATAACTGACTGATAATTGAACTGATTAAAAGTACTGAACTGACTGACTGAAACTGGAAACCGAATTGATTGAGTATATGTTAGTTAAATTGCATTATATCTGTTTGACTGTATGATTATCTGTTCATGTTCATATGTTTAAACTGCTAATTGAAGGCCTTATCGGCGGCCGAATTTGAAACCGATTAGTGTTTTGTGACCCTCATAATTTATGTGATTTTATAGTGTAATTATCTGAAAATAGTACTTTTAGCGACTAATTTTTTAGTCGCTGTTAATTGAGATTTGGCGACTAAAAACGTTTGTCGGCGAAGGAACCTTTTCTGCGACTAATTTGGTCTTTTGGTCGCCAAAAGTTTGGGGGGAAATTTGAAAGCTGGAGGGGGAAATGAAATTTGAACCACCATCGCACTCCTCATTAGTTGTATGCATGTACTACTGTTGCAACTTGCAAGTGTGGAACAATGAAAGGAACAAGACTTTCGAAGTAGCAGATGACTCCTCAAACCTCATTTTCTCTCTCATGTCGAAAACCCTTCTCTCCCGCATCAAACCTCCTCACAACCCCAAACCCAGTTCTTCCCCTTCCTTCTCCTTCAAACCCCACATCAAGCGACTCGTCAACGAACTCTGTGACATCCTCAAAACCCACCACCACAATCAATGGCAAGACACCCTCGAAACCCGCTTCTCCGAAGAAGAAATCGTCCCATCTGACATTGCCCATTTGGTGCTCGATCGTATTCGCGACCCCGAATTAGATTTGAAGTTCTTTGATTGGGTCACTCAACGCCCATACGATTGTTCTCTTCATGGGTTTGCTTATTCTTCTCTTCTTAAGCTCTTGGCCAGCTCTAGAGTGTTTTGAGAGATTGAGACTGTGTTGGAGAGTATGAAAGTTGAAGACAAGTTACCGACTCGGGAAGCTTTGGATGCTGTAATTCGAGCATATTCGGATTCTGGGTTAGTCGATAAAGCCCTTGAAATTTATACTACTGTGCTTAGTACTTCTAATTCTGTTCCAAGTGTTCTTGCTTGCAATTCTTTGCTTAATGCGCTTGTAAAAGAGGGTCGAATTGAAATTGCACGCCGGGTATATGATGAAATGTTTGATTCGATCTATTGATTCGATTCAAGTATGGTAGGTTTCGATTGAAGATCTATTGATCGATTGAAGATCATAATGTGCAGTGTAGATGTTAAAATTGAACACAAAATACATACATACATATATATGAATAGATTGACAAATTTTCTTTTACAGTCAAGGTCTCGATCTCATTCTTTATTTGTTGTACATACATGTTTATATGTACAAAGGAAGTCCTGAAACAGGGGAAAATCAGTAAACCTGTGGTTGCTTGGGTCAGTGGAACTTGTGCACGTCTCTTCAAGTCAGAAGTACAATTTGGTCATGCGGTGAGCTACTGCTAAATTTCCTTGGATATAATTTTTGTTTATTTATTTTATTTTATTTTTGGTGTTATTTTCTACTCGTTATATTGTTTCTTGAATGGGCTGTAGTCCCTTGTTGCCTTGTCTTGAATGGCCTGGACTTTCCATAAGATTTTGTTAAATATTAGGCAATTAAAACTTTATCTACCCTATTAAAGTTGGTTTCTCAAAGAATTTTCTATAATTAGAGATTAGTAAGTTTTATGCAGCTCTGTTCTTGTAAACCGCTTATCAGGGGAAACTTGAATACATAACCAGGAACCCTAGCCACATATTTGATCCCACCCTTGATAATGTTCTATTTTCTCAACTAATTATGCGTTTTTGTCTTCATAATAATCTTCTCTTTTGGGCCTAAGCTGTAGTTTTCTAGTAAATCTTACACAAGTATTGAATTTTTTACTCAGTTTTTTGTTTTTAATTTCTGTTGGAGATAATATTTAGAATGGAAAAAAGTGTGACGTTTCACACCAACAGAGTTCTGTGTAATCTGCATGCTTGTGCCATTTCAGAGACTTGGTAATAGTACCCTCACAGCTGGTAAACATTGAAGCAGTGACAATTGAAATGGGTAATTATGTACAACTACTTAACATGGTAATTACATGAACAAACCATATATATATAAATTCTTGCAAGTGATGGAGGAAAATATAGCAAAAACGCATATTTAGAAGCCTAATCAATATATATACATATATGGAGGTACATTTCTCACTTCATCTTTCTCAAAATTGAATTTTTATTTTGTTTCAAGCTTCTATTATGTGGAGATGGTACTTTGGTTATTCATAAACAGTCTGATTCATCTAATTACATTTATTACTTTGATTGCAGCAACTAATTTTGCCAGAACAGCATACTCTTATAGCACGAATGGTTTTGAGCGATTGTCAAACATCTCGGTAGAGGACAGTTGAGGCACCTACAAAAACACCAAATAAAGCCTAGTATTAGATTCAGCTTAAGAAAATCTATGAATAAACTTGATTATATGAGGATTTAAGTGTCTTAAAAAAACTGATTTTCAAGATGTAAATTCTTGCGAGAGGTTGGGGATTCAATTCTCCCTAGGTGCTAATGTTTGTGTACATGTAACTGGGGGGAAGCAAAGAAATTTGATTGATTTAGAAGGTATCGGTTGCTGAAATTGCAACACAATTTCCTGCAGTGATTTTTGAGCTTTTGTTTTAGGGTTTCTAGTGATAAATAAATGGCCATAGGAAAGAAAGAGAGAGTTGATTAGGACATAATAGACTAGTAATCAATATATATATATACATATATGGAGGTACACTTCTCACTTCATCTTTCTCAAAATTGAATTTTTATTTTGTTTCAAGCTTCTATTATGTGGAGATGGTACTTTGGTTATTCATAAACAGTCTGATTCATCTAATTACATTTATTACATTGATTGCAGCAACTAATTTTGCCAGAACAGCATACTCTTATAGCACGAATGGTTTTGAGCGAATGTCAAACATCTCGGTAGAGGACAGTTGAGGCACCTACAAAAACACCAAATAAAGCCTAGTATTAGATTCAGCTTAAGAAAATCTATGAATAAACTTGATTATATGAGGATTTAAGTGTCTTAAAAAAATCGATTTTCAAGATGTAAATTCTTGCGAGAGGTTGGGGATTCAATTCTCCCTAGGTGCTAATGTTTGTGTACATGTAACTGGGGGGAAACAAAGAAATTTGATTGATTTAGAAGGTATCGGTTGCTGAAATTGCAACACAATTTCCTACAGTGATTTTTGAGCTTTTGTTTTAGGGTTTCTAGTGATAAATAAATGGCCATAGGTAAGAAAGAGAGAGTTAATTAGGACATAATAGACTAGGGTTTTCGTGAGGCTATTATACTGTGAATAGGAAATATCATATTTTTATGGAAGAGAAAAAAGAAAAGAAGATGAGGAATAGAAAGGGGAAAAATATTCTAGGAACCCTAGCTAGAATTTTGTTGGAATGACCCCCTTAAGCTTGGGTTACATGACAAATAACACAAATTCAAATCTTTAAAACAGGAAGGTTAGAATTTCCTATTGCGGGTGATGTTTTCCCTCTTAAAACTGTGATTCTGCTGGTTTAGAGAAAGAATTTTGTTAGAACCATGTACTTGTCGAGATTGAATCACGTTACGATTCAAACATACAAATCCCAAACAAATAAAAAGAAAAGCAACCAAGGCAAAAGAAAGTTTGTAGAGAACATATATTTTACCTAGATTTTGGCTCTCCTATTAGAAATTAAAGGATGAGAATTTGATTGATCTTTCCATTTGGGTTGTATAAGGATTGAGGAGAAAAATATATGTTATTATTGGTAATGAATTATTACTTCTGTAATGAAAACTTACCATTCTTTTGTTTAACAGTAGTGGAACAATGTTGAGTTTTAATATATATATATATATATTACAACTAAGCAACAAAATTATTTTTGTACAGTATATTTATATATTTGTATATAAATGCTCCCTTAGGTGCTCTCAACTTTAGACTCTTCTATGTGCCCCTGCCCCTGCCCGAACCTTGCCCTTGGTTCATGCAACTAAGATAGGAAGCTTTAGAATCTTTTGATTGTTGAAAATATTGTGGGCCTAATTACCATAAAATGTAAACAACCTGAAACCCATGAACTACTACAGTTTGTGTGTAGCAATTCCAAAAATTATTTAAATGCTTTGGACTCCTGTATTAAAATCAAATTAGCTGCATAGTAACCTAAAGCTAGTGCAAAATGAGGGCCAAATTAGACTTAGTTCATTAGATAATGTCCACAAGCGTAATATGAAATTGTAGTTTGGCCATTACTATTGCTAGCACATTCTTGATCGATAGGATGGGACACTTGGAAGATGATTTTTGAATTGTTATAGCTCAACTTCTATTCTTTTTAGGAGTTTCTTTTAATAATATTACTACTTTTTATGTTTATATATAGAAGATAACTTTGAAAAATCAACTTCATTTTGCCCACTAGGTGTTCCAAAAAATTCTCACGAGAGTTGATTTACATCGTGTGGTGACAGTGGTCTTGATTGCCTTGAACTTTGCCAAAGAGATGGCTTTACACACCAACAGATCCATGTACTGGCCCTAATTGGTTGGGATTAAGGCTTATTAGCTCATGTTGAATACCAGTTTCTAGCATCTTTGATGTTAAATTAGGTGTAATAATCTATTAGATTTAGGTTTTTTTCACCCCTCAAATAACACTTGTGTTTTTATTTTTCACCCCTTAAATAACTGAAACTGGATTTTATCTCATTTTATGTGTTTTTATTTTTCTCAATCTCAACATGGTATATATTTACATCCCAACAATAGTGGCATCATTTTTGCTCACGCATTTTTAAGAAACTGTAGTAGTGATTTTATTTATTTATTATAATTTTTTTTCTTTTACCAATCTCAATGGATATTTTGATCCAGGAGTCTTGAAGCAAATCAATTTTCTGGCAGTGTTCCTCCTGAACTCGGGAAACTAAGTAACTTGACAACTTTGTAAGACATGTCATTCCTTGTTTACTTACACTTACTCCTTGAATCAAATTTGACAAGGATGAAAGGATATCCAACTCATTTGTTTGGCTACATGTTGTTGCAACTTCAGGGTATTGTCCTCGAATTGATTGAGTGGAAATTTGCCACCTTCATTTGCTGGGCTAATAAATTTGACTGATTTGTAAGCTACTACAATATCTTATATGATTTCCTATATTATTTCAATGATGGTGTCAGTTCAGCACCAGTTTCTTGCACAATGCAGTAGGATAAATGACAACAACTTCAGTGGAGCAATACCTGATTTCATACAGAACTGGAAACAACTTACGAGATTGTAAGATTCTGATCTTCCGAAAAATGCCTTTTCAGATCGGCTAAAAGCAGTGATGGTTTTTCCGTTATTTGTATATAACCATTCAATTCTAATTTGTGTCGATGAAGAGAAATGCATGGAAGTGGATTGGAGGGACCCATTCCATCAAACATATCCCTTTTGAATCAATTAACTGAATTGTGAGTACAAAACATTCTTATAGCAACAAAGTAGTTTTAGGAGGTAATGTTATTTTGTTGATTTATTTGATTGATAGCGTACTGTTGATGGAATTGCTCATGGTGTGATCTCTTTGACCAGGAGAATCAGTGACATAAATGGGATGGCTCCGGAATTTCCTACCTTGAGCAACACTACAGGGCTAGTAAGATTGTATGTTTGATGATTATATAATTTATAATGTTCAATATTTATAGTGTGTATAGGTGAGTTTCATCCTGAGTTTAATTTTATTCATTTTTTTCGTATTTAGGGTTTTGAGAAACTGCAACATTTCTGGTGAAATCCCGAAATATATTTGGAAAATGATGAATCTGCAAATGTTGTAAGTAAAGCATGTTAAGCTTTGGTGAATGATTTTTATTTGACCTTCAGTGTTTTCATCAATGTATCATTGATTACACGACCAAAGCGATTTAATTTTCCATCCTGTTATTGTTATTGCTGTTAGTTTTTTTCACTGCCAAGGCACGAAAAGGACAAATCACAGCTCATTTATATGACAGTGCTTATACTATTTTGTTCACAAATAGTATATAATTTTTGATCATCATGCAGGTGGATTCTGTAGTTTACCTTGTTGACGCGTACAACAAAGAGAGATTTGCAGAGGCCAAAAAGGAGCTAGATGCCCTACATAAAAAAGAACAACAATACTCAACCTTGTTAACACCAGATGTTCTTTTTTTTTTTGAAATTGATGCTGATTATGTTAAATTTTTGTTGGAATGAATTGTTTTTTGTTTTTTGGGGTTTAGAATAGGGTTTTGTGTATTGTTCCTTGTTTTTGGAATCAATGTTGTTGCTGCTGAGTTATGTGTTGAAACTTGGATATAGAAAATTTTATAATAAGACCTATTTTGATTATGAATTCGTCCTATTTTGATTATGAATTCGCTAAATATTACAGGTGTATTGTTTTCCTGCTTTGGCGACCAATTTATTAGTCGCGACATCCAAAATAATTTTTTTTCGCAAAAAATGACAATTGCCGACCAAGAGTTTTGGTCGCAAAAAATACATTTATTGCCGACCAAAACAATTTTGGTCGTGGAAACTCACTTTTGCCGACCAAAATTTTTGGTCGCGAAAAGTAACAAATGGCAACCAAATTTTTTGGTCGCGAAATGTGATAATTGGCGACCAAATTTTTTGGTCGCAAAATGTGACAATTGGCGACTAAGAAATTTGGTCGGGAAAATATCACTTTTCGCGACCAAAGTGTTTTAGCGACAAAATGAATTAGTTGCGGTCATTAAATATTTAGCGACCAAAAATTTAGTCGGCAAATCTAACTTTTGTCGACCAACCAAAATTTTGGTCGCGAATTACTTTTGCCGACCCTCAATTGGCGACCAAAGTAGCGACCAAAAAAATTGGTCGCGGATAACTTTTGCCGACCAAAAATTGACTTTTAGCGACCAACTTTTTTGTTGCCAAAAGTGTTAATTCTTGTAGTGTCAGCTACCAGATGGTTCCCCACCTTGGGAACTGCTAAAAGGAAACTTTGTAGCACTAGAGCTCCATGAAACCATCTTGGGCAACAAGCAAGGAGTTCTATATAAACTACACTGATCTCGCACTGAAGGTAACTGATATAAGCTGAACTATACTCACCAAAGCACAACTCTCTCAACACTGAGAGTACCCCTCATCTTCTCTGATCTCTCACTCCCACATCGGAGGGGTTATTCAGCCAACCCCAGCTGGGTAGTTCAAATGGTGCTCATTGTTGCAGGGTCTCCATTCCTGGATCGTCCAATCAAGTGCGGAGCTCCGATCCACAATCATCTAGTGTGGTAAATTGTACACACAGATACTTGGTTTGCTGGTATATACGGTTTGTCATCCGTAAGCATGTAAAGCATATCGAAAAAGGGAAGAAAATGATGATATAACTAATTAGAAATATAATTTATAATAAAAACCAATAAAACAAAAATAAATTGGCCAAATTGAAGTTTCATGTGCCACTTAGAACATTTAAAAGTTTTGAAACTAATCTTTAGAGACACATTCATCAATCGGAAGTAAAAATGAAAAAAAAGAATGACATTTTCAAGGAATATCAACAAATATTATTGAAATACTGACCTTTTCAAGGAATATCAACAAATATTATTGAAATACTGACTTTTTCAAGGAATATCAACAAATATTATTGAAATACTGACTTTTTCAAGGAATATCAACAAATATTATAGAAAGACATCCATGCAATATGACAATAAAAAATTTATGAAAAAAAAAACTAATGGTAAAGAATGACAATATCCTTATGATTGGAAGTTGGAACAATTACCTCCTACAAAACACTACATGCCACATTTTAAAATTCCTAATTTTAATGAAGTTACAGAAAGCTCTACAAATTTTTTGCTTGTCTTGCTAAAACAAACCCATTAGACCCAATAAATGAGTTTAATAAGAACTTTAAGTTTACCATTAATCAGTAAACTTATTTCAACAAATGAAAAGGACAAATTCTTCTGAAAGTATAAAGAATTAAGCACTTGTTCGAATGTAGTAGTTATAATCAGAAAATAGAATAACAGCTAATATTAATCAAGTCTTGTTGCCACTTGTCATGTCTTAAAAATCGTTGACAGCACCAAAGTATCTTCAATTTGAATGTCCTCACTTAAAATAATAGAGACCCACAACTACTCTTCTCTCAAGGATGGCTTTCTCATTAAAGCTTCACCACATCTACTATTATATTTGTCCCATGAAATGTAAATTACATCATAGCCAAAAAGGAAAAAGGAATCATGTGAAAGCACATTAAAGATAGTTGATGTAGTTGGAACTGCATCTACTATTATAAAAACAATTGGGGCCCGACAAGATGCCACATAAAAAGCTGGCAAAAGACAAAAGAATAGATATGTTGATTGAGGATGTCTTGATATGCCCATATTTTATGACACTTAATCGAGCTGAGATAAATAGTCTGAATTTAATTGGTAAAACTATAAAGAACATGGACAACATTTCCAGAAGAAGATTTAGAAATGCTTTTTGTGTGTGTGTGTGCATGCGTGTGTGTGTGTGTGAAATGGAGCTTCAATTCCAAAGGAAATTACTACTTTACAAAGGTACAATTAAAGTCAACAGCAAATCACAAACACTTACTTTTCTAGAATTTGAAAAGAAGGATAAAACTTGTGTAGTATTTTCACAACTTCAGAGAAGTGTGTGATTCTGTCAACTAAACAATATCTTCTGCTGGCCGAAGGAATTTCATATGCTTAAATGTGTGCATTTGCAACATCTTTAACATTAATCCATCCATAGGAAGCATTTGGATATGTTTGTGAACCTGCACAACAGAAAAGCAAAGTGAATGGGAAAAAACATTTCAAAGAACTTAGGATGGTAAGCATTTCAAACATTTCAAAAATACTTACCATTTATTAATTCCAAGATAGCAGCAGCATTTGAATTAAGTGTTGGTTGTAACAGAGGACCAACAACCATTGATGGGTTTATTACAACCATGTCAATTCCTTTCTCTTTTGAGAACTTCCAGGCAGCATCCTCTGCTAGAGTCTTAGAAAGTTGATACCAAAGCTGGTAGTAAATACAAAAAAAGCCACGAGAAGCAACACAAATTATGAACAGAGCCATACAAGCATGTCAACTGGGATTATTACTATTATTATTATTATTATTTTAGAATATGGTGAAAAATGCTGGCTAGGTTTAGTACAAGCTACACTTTAATTAACAAGGCTACAAAAACTGACATGTTTAATTATCTAGAAACAAAGGTTAGAGGATTTCTTCAATTTCATTGGTGTAGGTCACATGGTCAAGCAAGATATAATTAATTGTGGGAGCCGAATATTCTGAGGGTAGTAAGGCTGGATACAGGTATGAGATCAGTCAGGGACGTAACTTGTATTCGACATTGATCCTAATCGATCGAAGAGCCGAATAGGATAATTGGCATTCCAACTAGCAGAACAAAAGCTGAATAAATATACATGCGGTGGGCCCGATCCAAAGGCCCAAGGGGAAGAATATAAATAGAGGATCATCAATCAAAAAAAATGTATGTGAGAAAAAATAAGTATAACTTGAGATATAAGCAACCAAGAGAGTATACACTGACTTATCCGTCGGAGTGCTAATTCCGGCACCCCCGACCGGAGTGTTCATTCCTTTTCAGGTGACTAGCTGACGATCACGAGCGTCTTACTAGGTCTAAAGAGTATTTCCGAACCACTTCTCCACAATTGGCACTGTCTGTGGGAATACTCCAGCATATCCATGGCAGGCATGACGGAAGATCCTCTGGTAGTCACTGACGACCTTACACCACGAGATGATACCACTCCAAGCAACATGCTTGGACTAGAGAATATTGCTGCACGAAGGGCCTTGAACTTCGACTCACCTTCAACTTCAGCGCATGAGACAATGCAAGCGATTATGGATCAAGCGAAGCAAAATGAACAGAGGTTGGAAAACATGATGGCTGAGAACGAGCGTCTTCGATAGGATTTGGCCTTGAAGGTGGCAAAATCCCAATAGGCTGCGCGCCAAGACCCAGGTCAACCTCTGAGAAAGGACGGCGACGACCTCGAGTTCGGAGACACGATAATGGCAGTGATTTGGACTCATCATCCCCAGAACCTGCAAAGAAGGGACGAGTCGAAGTCTCCAGCTCTTCTGAAGGAAGTTCGTGTGCACGAAATAAGCGCAGAAGAAATGATTCAGACGAAAAAGACCAACACGATCCCTTTGTACGACGGATTGCAAGGGCAGTATTACCCAAAAAGTTCAAAGCCCCATCGTTTACCCTATACGACGGGAAATCGGATCCCACCGATTGCATCCATCATTATAAGCAAGCCATGATGCTACATGCAGATAACGAGGCCCTCATGTGCCGAATATTCCCGAGTAGTTTGGGACCGTTGGTCGTCAGATGGTATTATAAATTGGAACAGGCATCGATTAAAAGCTTCCATCAACTTCAAAAATCCTTTAGGGCAAGGTTCATCACCAATGAGGTCCAGCCGAAGCAAGCCGATTCTCTCTGGTCAATGCAAATCCAGCCAGGGGAAACCTTACATGCGTATTCGGCGCGCTTTTGGGAATGCTTTAATCTCGTCGATGATGCCTGCAATGACTCCATGGCCATCATCGCCTTTAAAATGGGGTTGCATCGTGATAGTGCCCTCCGTAGTTCTTTGACCAGGGGGCCCCCTAAAACAGTCTGGTCGTTAATGAAGAAAGTCGAGGAATACTACAAAGTGGAAGATGATGCTTGGGTCAAAGTCGGGCACAAGGCCAACAAGATGGCCCCATCTGAAATCGTTCAGTCGATAAATTCTGTACCATCATGGAGCCCTGAACCACGAAATCAGACTAAACGAGACAAAAGACGAAATTCACGCCGATCAAATGACCAATGTCCACACCGGGCTAATGAACAACTTCAAGTGGATAGCAGGTGCATAAGGTGTGCGGACAAGAAATATACAGAGTTTTCAGAGCCGATCAGCACGGTTATGTCTAAAGTTCAACATCTGTCGTTCTTCAAATGGCCACCCGAGATGGTGGGACCTCCCGATACGAGGAGCTGGGATAGGCGGTGCGAATATCACAAAGACCACGGTCATGATACCGACAGCTGCTATGCTTTGAAAGATCACATTGAGGAGTTGGTACAAGACGGTCGGCTTAAGCAACACGTTCAAAAGAACAACTCAACCAAAACAGTTGCTTTACGACAGGATTCATCTCTGCTCGGCGTAATCCATATGATATACAGCTTGCCGACAACATCCGCCGTACACATAATTCAGTCGCATCCTAATCCCCATAAGTAGATCACTCCAGCGAAACAGCCCTAT